ACCACCTTCACTTTTGGGGGGCCCGGCTCCCCTCAAAACACCTCTGGTAAGAAGTGTAAACGCTGAACATTTGCCTCAAATCGAAGCACTTCATAAAAAACGTACTTAGCTTGATTCGCGGCTACGTTGCCAGCCTCGTCAAACTGCAGTTCAGGTGCTCCGACATACCGATAAAATCTAAATCAAGAGTTTTTACCTTAGTGAGAGGAATGTTTCAAACTGAAGTTACCTTTTGAGAGGTAGCTCGCTGAGTTTCCCTTTTGGATTGAGCACAATCTTCAAATCACAATTTACCGCTTTACGTAATAGATCGAGGATCGGCGCGAGCTTCTGAGCACTTCCCGAAAGAGGATCTACGACAGCTACGACATCCATGACAGGTCTATTGGAATCTTCCGCAGTAAGTGTCACGGTGCTGGAACAGGAAACATACGTTATATACATAAAGTGAAGCGAACAACTCGAAATGCACTTGGACTGATACGCATACCTCGCCAAGGAAATCGAGTAGAAAGAAAATGAAACTTCCAAGTTCAAATCTATCTACTCAAGCTTTTTTCACTCGGCTATTAACGTTATTAAGGAAATGTAATGTGAATAAATGCTTTCGGATTTTTCGAACTTGATTGAATACGATTGCCAGGTCAACTACGATAATAACTGATTTGTTCGCAGAAAATCAAAAACTGAACTCTAGCTTCATGTGCTGCAACTCGGGTAGAGGAACGAACACCTCAATTAGCCACCACCTTTGCGGTCTATTGGTCCTAACACGATGCAGAACAGTGGGACGAAAGGACCCAGTCCGCGGAGGCGTCCGTCCCACTGTTCTGCTGTTCGGTACCTAATTGAGGTGTTTGTTCCTCCACACCTGCAACTCCACTCCATTGCCATACCCTCAAAGGCTATGGACAAGAGGTTTCAGTTTACTCTCAAGCATATGATTATTCCCAAATTTTTACATAGCTTGCTGGCACAGTCCTAGTTGTAAACTGGAGCACTTAGCTATTATGTAGTACGCCACATGCAGAAGGAGAGTGGTAAATATCTCCTCTGCATCTAGTGCAGCCGCGAGGGTTGCAAGAATTTGGGAGTTGGCGATGTAATACAAAAGCTTGGCAAGGGTCTATGAGGCTAAAACTAACTTCATTGCTTCAAATATTTTGGTAGCAGAGGTTAGCAGTACAAAAGACAAAACCGTGCACCAGGAGACTGCAAACTTAACCTGGTACAAGTGCGGATCACAAAGAGACCCTTACTTTTAAAACTTCTCTCACTTTGGCGCATAAAAA